TTCTAAGATTTGATTTACATTTCTAATTAAAATTGTTTTTGATCATACGTATAGATAATTATATAAAAATTCCAAAATTCTAAAATTTCAAATACATACAAAAACAATCATATGTAAATTTTAAATTTGTGAATATTAAAATTTTATATTTTAATTACATATATTCACCCTGCGCAAGGCGCAGGTCTTATCCTAGTACATAAGTTATTACGCGTATTAGTCTTGATTTTAGAAAGATTGTACGATAAAAATTGTATATGTATGTTCTTAATTTTGTATTATTATTTGTAAGAGTGCTAAGAAGATTTTCAACAAGCAAATAATAAGTCACCAGCAGAAGTTTAGTAAACTTGTCACTGTCACCGAAAGAAAACTAAAATAAATACTCTATTTTTTTAATTTATTAGTAATAGTCAAGAATTTTTATTACAAAATAAGTGATGATTTCACTGTTGTAGATAAAAATTTAATTTTGTCTGAGTTTTGTAATAATTGATTATTTTTTATTCATTGAATTAATTTTTTATGTAATCAAAGTTAAATGGTATAAACTTCGTATCTTTTAATTTGTGTGCACTACCTTTAAACATCAAATAAATAAACAGAAACAGAATGAATACAAATTTAAAGCAGTAATAGAACGAGGCATATGAATGACTACTTGATGAGTATGTTGTGCATAGGGCTGGATATTTTATTCGTTAAATTTGATTCGATTCGTTATTTGTTTCGATTCATTATGAAAATTCCGGACATCCGTAAACATTTGAAGCAAAGCAAATACTAAAAATTACCATCCGTTAAAGTCGAAACAAATCACAAATATTAATATTTTGAAAAGTGAATATTCGCTCCGATCCGACAATATATAAATACATGAATATCTTGATTATATTTAAAGTTTTAAATGTATAAAATTATATGATCATTATTCTAACACATGATTTGAAAAATTCTATTCACATTATTACTTATATAAAAGTATTACATAACAAGAAGAGAGAAAACTTATAATAATTATAATTTTTCTTAAATTTGGTGTTGTTATAATTCTTAACTAAGTTTAATTTTTTAACAAAAGATGTAAATGCACTACTTATTTTTATTTTAATTTTATATATAATTCAAAAAAATATTTTGCATAACAAATTTGTGTCACATTTTTAATATTATTTGTATTAACTAAAACGGATGGGATATCCGTAAGTATTTGTAAATATCCGCAAATATTTTATATTTATTTTTTGGATATCCGTATTTTCCAAAGCAAAGCAAATCGAAAAATTAGATATCTATAATATACGAAACAAATCACAAATACTTTTCAAAATCTGGATATCCTACCCATGGCCATCCCTACTTGTGCATGCCTTCTTAACGCCATGCAAAGATATAACTAATGTAGTCTTGTAGACAGTAATAATGGTGTTAAAACCACATACTCTGCCAATAAAGGTTTGGTTCCATAAGAAATCATGACTGAAGACTTTAAAAGCAAAAACAGAACAATGAATTAAGAAATTCAGATCAGATAAGAGTGGAAAAGATAACAAGATACGTTATACGTGCTATGCTAGTTTGGACCACTGGATTACAACTCTTGCATTGTGGTCATGCATAAACATACGTGTTCTTTTACAAGCCAAACAAAACTTTTCCAATATTTTTTGTCAAAACAAGTTTGATTGGTTTTAAGACTTTCCGTGGTCCCCAAGAAGAAAGAAAAAAAGCAGCAAAAGTCGACCTCCTCCTCTCTCTACTCTGGTCTTCATCAAAAGCTCAGAAGACAAATACTGTATTGATGTCTCTTCAACAACCCAATGGGAACTCGAGTTCTTGTTCTTCCCCCAAGGAGCACAAAACTGGTAGTTGTTTTATCAAAAAATTATTTTCTTCTTATTTTTAAACTGAGAATTTGAGATATTTGGTTTGTGATTTTCAGAGGAGAGTGATGAAGAGTTGTTGATGGTTCCAGACATGGAAGCAGCTGGGTCAACAGGTGTTCTAAGCAGCAGCGCCGATGATGGAGTCAACAATCTAGAGATTGACCAGACCCAAAATGGTACCTCCACTGCTAAGCGCGGCCGTGGACGAAACCCAGTGGATAAAGAATACAGAAGTCTCAAAAGGTAAAATTAATTAGCCTTTTACTAAGTTATGCAGTTGAAATGTGGTAATAAAGAAACTGATGTAACTAGTTTTTTTACTAAAGTTATGCAGCTGAAATGTAGTAAAGAAAAAAGAAAGATAAGAATGAATATGATTTTTCAGGTTGTTGAGAAATAGAGTATCGGCTCAACAAGCTAGGGAGAGGAAGAAAGTGTATGTGAGTGACTTGGAATCAAGAGCTAATGAGTTGCAGAACAATAATGAGCAGCTTGAGGAGAAGATTTCTACTTTGATTAACGAGAACACTATGCTTCGTAAGATGCTTATTAACACAAGGCCTAAAGCTGATGACAATCATTGAGAGAAGCCACCTTCAATTAATTCAGTGTTGAGTGATTCTTTTTTTGTGTACGATTTTTGTTCGAATAACATTAGATTTGTGACGCCTCTCCCATAATCTGAATATTTCTTCGGTTAATAAAATGTGATTTGAGATTTGCATAATCAAGAAAGACAAAAAGGTAAAGACTCAAGACCTAAAAAGAGAGTTATAATTATTTGAAGCATTCTGTGACAAAATAAATAAATTGAAGCATATTCTTAGTGAAGTGTCTATTTCTCATATTAAAATAATACAAGTGAAAGAAAGAATAATACAGGAGAACCAGTGTCTCCACTCTGAATTAGATGCACTTATTTGGACAATGGAAAATATACAAAACTTATGACAGTTTCATGTGACGTTTGCAACAGATTATTCTCATGTAGTAAAAATGGTTTCGGAACCTGAGGAATGACTCGCATTTGCAACATACCTGGAAGATATCTGCTAATTGAAGGAGAGTTTTCACTATTCCGCCGTCATACATGTAAACCGAATGAATAATACAAAGTCAGGTAGTCTAGCATGCAGTGCTCGGAAGCAACAGTCTTTTGTCGTTTACATGGATGCATAATTTACCAATATGGTTTACAAAGTTTTAGTTGAATATGTATCTTGATGACAAAAAAAAAAGTATAAGATGAGTCACAAATATTATTTTTTGACGATTTTTTAAGAAACTTTTTAACATGAATGCATATTAATCATTTATACATTTAAAATTTTTAAAATATTAACAGCACAATAAAACTGTATCAAAATTACTATCTTGGTGAAATATTCACATAAGTTTCTTACTAATATGACCAATACCAAGATGCAAACTCTTGCTTCAGCTTAAACGAAGCAGAAACCTCTCTCTCAGGAGTTTGACTACTCAGCTGGTTCCACCCACCATTGTAAGTTCTTCAGTTACTCTAGCTTCTGCTGCATGTGTTTTTTTCTTGAGTGATTTAGTGAATTACCCATATCTGAAGCTCAAATTAGCAAAATACCATTGATTGGACATGAAGGACACTGACACAACCATTTGGCAAGGAAATGCCGAGAATGCCCTTTCTCTTTCCTCTCATTAACACGAAGCGTAAAAACATTTGTTAACATATAACACTTCTGTTAACGTCTACAATATTTGTTAACAGCCAACACATTTATTACTGCGAAGCGTAAAAATAATTGTTAACAGTTAACACTTCTGTTAACGTCTACAATATTTGTTAACAGCGAACACATTTATTAACGCGAAGCGTAAAAATAATTGTTAACAACTAACACTTCTGTTAACGTCTACAATATTTGTTAACCGCTAACACGACGTCGAATCTAAAACCCAGAAAATTGATATCATCAAAAAAATTGAGGATTCAAAGCCACTTATGAAAAAAATAATGAAATTTAAAATTTAATTGTATTAGAATGATAGAGATTTGTAAAATAATTAGGGATTAGAGAGAAAAAAAAAGGTCAAAAAATTAAGGATTCAAAGCCACTTATGAAAAAATAATGAAATTTAAAATTTAATTGTATATAGAATGATAAAGATTTGTAAAATAATTAGGGATTGAAGAGAAAAAAAAAGAGAGAAATGTCAAAGAGAGGAGAGAGAATGTAGAGAAGGACAAAATGGTCCAAAAGATAGTGATTGTCACATTATGGACAAGTCTCTAATTATAGGTGTCAAATAGAACACTTTAGCCAATTATCTCTTTTTTCTTTCTAAGAAGTTCGAGTGTAGATTAGTTTAGCTTGTACCAATGTTGACTTCTTTTTTTGAAATAATATGTAAAATTAATTCAGAAAAAGTATTTTTTACAGCCTTAGCTACTGGAAACAGAACAATATGTTAAAACAGAGCACTTGCTATTATGGGGCTAACGTGTTGAGAGCCAGAGTTGGAGGACACCCTCATGGCGTCGGACCCTCTTCGAAATCATTAAGAGACATTGATTACGGATCTGCCTATCAATCATTTTAATCACCTCCTCAGCTAAGATTGGTTGTGACCCATGTCGACGGTTGTTTCTCTCTCTCCAAATAGAGTGCAAAGTCACTTGGAAACTATAACGTAGAAGAAAAAGTTTCAAAGTGGTTAGAGAACGATCTCCAAGGAGAGCCATGATGTCTTGCCATTTGTGAGTAAAGCGGGAGCGCAATAATTGTCGAAGAAGACCCGTCCATACCTCCAGCGAGTAGCTACATTCAAAGAAAAGATGATTCCTAGTCTCTAGATGTTGACCACAGAGGATGCATCCCGCAGCTACATTTGCACTCCAGAGAAGCATTCTATCTCCAGTGGTTAACCTGTCATGCACGGCTAGCCACGCCATAAAAGCATATTTCGGTGTCGAGTAAGAGAACCAGATGTGTTCATGCCAAGTCACCTTCGGAGCAGCAACCCGAATGAGAGACCAAGTATTACGTGTACTAAATGTTGGCTTGAAATCATCTGTACTATATTTCCAGACTGGTATATCTGGCCCTGCAGACATCATATTTTGCTGCTTGGTTAGAGCCTCCTCTATCATAACGTACAAATCAGAGCGTTGCCTACGTGGTCGACGTGAAGCTACAGACGATATGGATGCTTTCAAAGGGATACCCATGTCAATACATCCCCTATCTCCCACCAGGTCTGATAGGCGTCCCATGTCTGACCAAGTATCAAACCAGAAAGAGGTTTCGAGTCCATTCCCCACTTTCATACGATGGAAATCTTTTGCCATATCTCTGTACTTTAAGAGTTTCCTCCACATCCATGATCCCAAGGTTTGTGTACTCTGAGCTGCCCAAAAGGTGGCTCCGTTTAGCAAATTTCCTTTCACCCAGCGAGCCCAAAGAGATTTAGATGAGGTAATCCGCCAGATGAGCTTCAAACAACAAGTAATATTAATTTCCTTCAAAGGTCGTAAACCAAGTCCTCCCTCTGATTTCAATGTTGTTACTGTACCCCAAGCTATCTTCGCTCGCTTTCTATTGAGAGATGGACCAGACCAGAGAAATGCAGAGCATAAGCTATCAATCTCTTTCAAACATGCACCAGGCAGGCAGAATGAGGACATCCAGAAGTTTGCAATACTCATTAAAACCGACTTGATAAGCTGGAGGCGACCCGCCATTGATAAGAATCTGTTTGTCCAAAGGCTGATCCGCTTTTTGACTTTCTCGATGAGTGGCTGATAGTCATTCCTTTCCATTCTTTTTGTTAAGAGAGGAAGCCCCAAATAGCGAACTGGGAGCACACCAACTGCCAATCTGTATTGGTCTTGGATTTCTTGTCGCATAGCATCATCAACCCCAGCACAAAATATTGTAGACTTCTCAACACTCATCTGTAAACCTGAGATGGCTGCAAAGTTACTAAAGACCTCCAGAATGCTCTCTATAGACCGAGAATTACCATCTGAAAACACTAGGATGTCATCTGCAAAACTCAAGTGAGTGAGATTGAGATTCTTACACTTTGGGTGATAGCCCATCTTATGATCAGGCTGATTTATCCAACATCTTCGATAAAACATGCATACTAATCACAAATAAATATGGTGATAGAGCACAACCCTGCCTTAGCCCTCTCTTACTCCTGAAGAAACCAGCCAGCTCCCCATTTACTTGGACTGAGAACGATGCTGTTGTTACACACAAAGAGATCCAATGTATGAACGTATCTGGAAGACCTATAGCAGTTAAGGTATTGAGAAGAAAAGGCCACTGAACCGAGTCAAAAGCCTTAGATATATCTATTTTCATCGCACATCGACGAGAGACTGAATCCTTGTGATAATCTTTTACAAGCTCAGTTGCCAGGAGGAGGTTCTCAATGAGAAGCCTATCTTTGACAAAAGCTGATTGGTTTAGACTGATGAACTCCGGTAGAAGCTTCTTTAGGCGATTCGCTATAATCTTTGAGATTACTTTATAAAGGACATTGCAACAAGAGATGGGCCGGTAATCTTTCATCTTCTTTGCCCCAGTTATCTTCGGGATAAGCGCCAGAATAGTTGTGTTGATTCCTTTCGGTAAGAAGCCCTTCTCAAAGAAAGCTTGGACGGCTATAACAAATTCTGTTCCTACTATCTGCCAGGCAGATTTATAGAATTCAATTGTATAACCATCTGGTCCAGGAGATTTATCACTTGACATTGCGAAAAGAACTTTCGTGATCTCCTCAGCTGTGACATCTCTAATCAGGCTGTCCCTCTCCACGTCAGAGCATCGATATTGTAAGAGGTCCTGCAACTCCGACACTTCAATACATGTGAAGTCTTCAGGTTTATGCTGCAAAAATTCTCTAAAGTGTTTCTCTGCTTCATTTTTAATTTCCACAGGTGATGTCAATACCTTCCCATCTGCACATTCTATTTCTTTGATGGAATTAACTATATCTCGTGCAGTGGCACCTCGATGAAACACTTTATTATTCTTATCACCCACATCTAGCCAGTGCATCTTAGACTTTTGTTTTAGGAATTTCTCCTCAAGCCCTGAAACAAAGTCCCATCTTTTATACGCTTCGCTTTCTGCTGCCATATTCCGCTCAGTTGGGTTCCTCATCGTAGCATCCTGTTTAAGACAGAGCTCATCAAACGAAACCTTGGATTTGACTGAGAGATTTCCCATCCTTTTCCTCCCTAACTCCGGTATAACAGGTTTCAGGCCCTTGAGCTTCTTTGAGAATCTGAATAACGATGATGTTGATGAGAAGATCGGCTCAGTATCATCCCAAAACTTCTTTACAGTCGGCAGAAATTCATCCAGCTCTGTTATAGCATTGACAAACTTAAACGGCCGTTTTGGACGAGAGAGTTCAGAGTGAAGGTTAATGCGACAACGGAGATGATCTGAACATCCCCCACTTTCAAAAACTGCATACGATTGCGGAAAGGCAGCTAACCAATGATCGTTAAACAGAACACGATCAATCTTCTTTGAGATAAGACCTTCAGATCGCTTGTTACACCAAGTAAAATGAGGTCCATGTGATCCTAAATCCAGTAAGGAACAATATTGTGTAACTTCTCCAAAATCTCGCATTCCTGGAGTTACCGTAGGCGAGACCTCATGAGATGAGTGGTCCTCCATATCTAGTGTCTCATTAAAATCTCCAGCAATTATCCATGGTTTATTGCGAATAATAGGCGAATCTTGGTGGAGCTTCAGATCCTTCCATAACTCTTT